AAAAGAGAACAAGAATTTGCACTTCTTCAAAATGTAAAGCTCTTCTGCATCAGATAACATCAAGACTGTGAAGAAACATGGGGCTGAAGTGATGGCCCATCAGCTATGAGCCTTGCCGCTCTTGCAGAGGACTAGTGGTCTGTGCCCGGCATCCATATTGAGCAGCCCATAACTCCAACTCCAGGGGAGCCTACGCCTTCTTCTGGCCTCTGTGGGCACATGCACACAAGTGTGCACATATGATTACGCAGATATGCACACATACACATAAATAATAACAACACAATAAATATTTAAAAGAATGAAAAAGCATGTGAAGCAAGGGCTGGAGAGATGGCTCCGGGGTTGAGAGCACTGGCTGCTCCTTTGGAGGGCCTGAGTTCAATTCCTTGTACCATGTCAGGTGGCTCACACTATCTGTAATTTCAGCCCCAACACCTTCTTTTGGCTTCTGAGGGCATCTGTACACACATGATATTTACACACACACACACGCACATGCACACGCACACGCACACGCACACAAATAAAAAAAATAATAAATATTTTTTAAACCATGTGATAAAACAACCATAGACAGGGAGATAATATGAAATATAAAGGATTTATATCCAGAATAGACTTAAAATATAAAGAGCCTCTACTACTCAAAGATTAAAAAAAAACACAGAAGGCAATTTAGGGGCAGATGAAGGATTTGAACAGATAATTCTCTAGAGAAGATATGCAAATGGTCAACTATCTCATGAAAAGTACTTCACATCAATAGTTCTCAGGTAGATGCAATTCAAAGCCACAGTGGGACACCATAACTCACCTACTAGGATGGCTATAATCAAAAAGAGACAATGAACCAGTGATGCAGATACCAGGAAATCAGAAACTTCACACATGACCGGTGGGAGTGTAACATGAGGTAGCATTTTGCAAAACAGTTCAAAAGTTTCCTCAGAAACATTAAGCATAGAGTTTCCACATCTTCCATGTCATGGTTTGAAAATGAAATGTCCCCACAGGCTCATATGTTAAAGCCTTAGGTCCCCAGTGGGTGGCACTATTTGGGGAGGTTCTGGGAATTTTAAGAAGTAGGTCTCAGCTGGAGGAAATAGATCAATGGGGTGGGCCCTATGGGTATCTTGTAGCTGGACTTCTCTTCTTCCCGTTCTTCGAAAATCTTTACATATTAGATTTGGGTTTGGTTCTGCATGTGTATCTACATGGTGTGTATGTGTGTGGACACATGGGAGTGCATGTGCACATGTGTGTGCATGGACACATGAAAGCTTGAAGTTGATATCGATTTCCTCAACCATTTTCCACTTCATCTACTGATTCACTGAACCTGAAGCCCGCCAGTTCCAACCAGTCTAGGTAGCCACTTGCCACAGAGATTCCCCTGTCTCTGCCCCCAGAGCTCTGGGATTGCAGGTGGTTGCCACGCTCATCTGTTTTTTATTTTGTTTTGTTTTAACATGGGTTTTAGAAATCCAAACTCTGGTTCTCATGTGTACCTGGCAAACATTTGACTGACTGAGCCATCTCTCCCCAGGCTCTCCCTCCCTCCTCTCTGCTTCCTACCTGCTACACGTTCCTAGAACCCCGATGTTACTACCCAAATACACGGGGCCAAGCAACCATTGGTTGAACCCTTTGAAACTGTGAGCCACAATGGATGTTTTCTTAATTTTTCCCTATCATACATTCATAGCAACAATAAAAGTAACTAACACAGCTAAGCAATCATACACCTTGACATCAGCCCAAGAGAAACAAAAACTTAAGCATGCATGCATGTGCACGAGCATGCGCGCGCGCACACACACACACACACACACACACACACACACAACAACAACAACAACATTGAAAACCAGTGTCCATGGCAATATTGTTCATGATAGTCTAAAAGTGAGTTGTACTTGTACTACAGACCTGTAACCTCAGCCACTCGGGGGGCTGATGTAGTAGAGCTCTAAGTTCAAAGTCTGACTGGGACACAGGGTGAACTCAAGACCAACTTGAAATAGAAGAAAGGAATTTTTTTTTTTTTAATGCTGGGGATATAGCTCAGGGGTAGAGCCCAGTTTGTGTGATACTCTAGGTTCAATTTTCAATGCTGTACAAAAAAACCAAACAAACTAGTGGAACAATGCAAACTTTCATCAACTGATTGAAAGATAATAAACAAATCGTCTTATATTCATGCCATAGAATACTATTCAGACATAAAAGGAATAGGGAAGGAAATAGTCTACCACATGGACACACCTTGACGGCATCATGCTAAGTGAAAGAAGCCAGTCAACGACAGGCCATGTACTGTATTATTCCATTTGTGTGAAATGTCCAGAGGAGGGAAATCCTTAGAGCTGGAAGGTATGTTGATGCTTGCCTGTGGCTAAAATGTACAATGTGTCTCTGAAGGGGATATGTGACAAAAATGTTACAAAAGTCGACGATGAGTATGTAAATATACAAAGTACGTGCAAATATATGCAAGTATACTAAAATCCATTGAATTGCACACTCTAAGTGGGTGAACTTTCTGCTAGGTAAATTATCTCTTAATTGTGTTTTTAAAAAGACTGAAGGAAGAGGAAGAAACTGGAGGCGGCAAATATGAGAGGGCTGAGGAATTCCTTGAACCCTTAAAGGTTTTCCAGAAAATTAGCAGTAGACAGTTATATTATTGTAGCCAAGTAGGAGTTTCCCCGATGTGGTACAGACAAGAAGAACTCCTGAGGCCACTTCTCTGTATCTCTAAGTGGAAGATCTGCCCAATTCCCTGACTTTATCCCCCCTGCCCCGCCCCCATCCCCATTAGTATCAGCCACAGTGCCGGAAACACAAGGATCTGCCGCTCGCTTAAGTTTACGGATCATTTCTACTTATTATTTTCTTTCCCTCTTTTGTTTGTCTCGTCAGTAGGCACAGTGGGAAATAATGAACCTCTAGTCTTCTTACTAAAGAAATAAAGACCATGGTCCGCGGAGCAGGCTAGGCCACCAAGACCCAGGGGAAACAGAGCAGGGAGGCATCCAGTGGTATTTCTGTAGACAGGGCAGAAATAGATAAATAAACCTTCTACCATACAAGCCTGAAACTCCCAATGCCCTCCTCAGGTCAAGGTCAGGCTCTGGTGGACACTGCCAGCCAAGCTGACCTGTTATCGCTGCTCCCTTGAAGAAAAGCGCGGGTTTCTCCTCGGAAATTCTCTGCTAATTCCACCTGCCTAGAGATCCAAACTCCACCACCAAGTGTGATTCCTGAGTGTCATCTGGCAGAGCCCTCATGAAAAGGTAAGCACATGGTGTCCCCTGGCCATCCGAAACAGACTCTGTGAGCCACGGAGAGAGATCTCCCTGCCCCGCCTCCAGACAGGGAGGAAATGCTGTGAGATCACATTATTACTGAGACCAAAGTCTCCAGCCCCTTCCCCCAAGGGCTGGAAATTCCTGGCTTTTGTCTTCCTCTTGAAATGAGGCATTTGAGAGTCGTGGAAAAGTACAAGACAGAATCACAAGCCACCGCGGAGAAGGTGCCAAGGAGCTCATCCTGACAGGGGCCCGACCCCTGAGCAGACATTCTTCCTGCCACCCCTTTGCCTTGGTGTGACAGCAGAGCACCGCTGGGGCTCCTGCTGTGTCCTGGCCATTCCCAGTGCTGTTCCCAGTGGGGCGGAGATAACAGCAGACTGTTAGGTGTAGGCCCCTTCTCATCCTTTGAAAACACAGTTGTTGTTCCAACTCCTCACCTGGCCTCCCAGTTCTCGAGAGCACTGGCGTGTCCCTTTCCCCTTGTTGCTCCTACCTGCGCAGACTCATCGCTTTAACCTCACGGGTCCTCCACCTCTGCACATGGAGTCCAGGGCTCCGACCACTGTGGCTCTTCACCCCACACCAGAGCTTGGGCCACCGGGCTTCCCTGGCTTTGCCATCTGCCTCCAGCTTCTCCGGACAGACTGCTCATTTGTCAGTGGTGGCATTGGCCCGTCAAGAGGACAGGAGGTCTACCTCACCGAGACAGAACACACCTGATGGTTCTGCCATGTTCTTGTAGGGTCAGGTTTCCAGACCATCTTTTTCTTTTCTTTCCTCTCCTGGAAAGTACATCAGTCAGTCTTCCTTCGTTCACCCCAGCCTCTCAACATGGAGGCTAAAAGAGAATGGAGGTCTGACTGCCCAGGCTCTGCCACTGATTATCTGTGAGACATCAAAGAAGGTCTTTATTTCTCTGAGAACACATTTCCTCATCTATTTCCTCATCCACAGCTTTGTCAAAATAGTAAGTGAAACATTATCATAACGTACTTACCGTGGAGACTTAAACATTCACTGTAAGTTTTCAATATATGCCCTCCACATTTATTTTAAAGATTCCACCTATTCATTTATTCATTCATTCATTCACTCACTCACTCATTCATGGTGTACTTAGTGAGCTTCATGCCAGGTACTGGGGTATGACTATGTCTTCTAAGAGGAAAGCCACTTAGACTCAGGAGGAACAGCAGAGACCTGAGGCCTGCCTCCACAGCACATGCAGACCCACCCTGAGCCCTGGAGGCTGCCCCGGAGATGGTGACGTGAGTTCATCCTTCTGAGTCTTTAAATACCACTAGAATTCTGTGCTAAGGTGAGCACCACAAGGAGGAAGGCACATGACAGACAGGAAGTGAGAGGGTCCTGGGGGGAACCCTGTTCTTCCCTGCTTCTTCTCAATTACAGAGAGTGGCCATGCCTTAGCTGTACAGGAGGGCGATGTCCTTCAGGGCGGCCTTGTTGAATCTGTCTGGGACTGTTCCGGAAGGAGGAAGGGCGGGCGGGGTGGGGAGACAGCTGGAATGTTCTGGCCTGCTGTTCAGTGCAGCCAGCCTGCGAGAGAGAGGAGGGCCTCTGGACATCAAAGGTTCCTTTTGTCCCTTTCCGAGTGGCAGGGCAGCCGGGCCACTGGCTATGACTCAGGCCTGGCCCTGACGTCACCCACGCCCTGCCACTGGCCTCCGTTTGCAGCCAGGAACCTGACCAGGGAGTGGTTCTCATAGCTGCAGCAAATCTCCAAACAGGGAGGCCTCTGCTGTACTCTCTCCGTTTCCCCACAGTCCACCTTAATTTTTTCTTCTTCTTCTTCTTCTTCAAGCCTTAAGGAGGGCTTTACTTGTAAATCGACTGTAAGCAGTCAGAATGAGTGACATCATGAGAGAATTACGTGGCGCAGATCTCAACCAGGAGTTGAGGGATCCAGAGGAAGAATACAGTGGTGACTCCTGAGCCCAGGGAGTTGGCAGCGTCTGGGCTTCAGAGGAGCCAGCACCTCTGAGTAAGTGAAGGCCCCTCAGCCCCTCAGTCAAGGCCCAACACTGTGGGCGCCATCTTGCTCCTCAGAGCCAGGCCTGGCAGGCCCTGGCCCAGAGTGGGTAGTGGGGACTGCCTTTGGGACATCCTCTAAATGCAGCCTCAGAGGGGCCTGCTCTCTCTCTTCCCCATGGGGCCAAACAAGAACGCATAAACAAAAGCTACTCATGCTGAAACCCTGGGGAGAATGTCCTACTGGGTTCAGGCTTCTTGTTTTCTCTGCCCACCTGAGAGCTCTGTTTCAAGAAGGAGGCCAAAATATTTGTTTGGGGTTCTGGACATTTGCTTCCTGTATCTTCTATGGGGTGATCAGACATAAAACAAATCCCATTCTAGGCAAATGTGTGCTATGTCAGCCAAACAGTATTTTCACACTTAGCGGGGGCGGGGTGGGGTAGGGGAGGGATAATGGCAGTCCTGGTAGGTAAGGGTTCGCAGCCTGCCTGCCTTGAGAGCATGTTCCGCGCTCTGGCTGATGCACCTCCATTATCTCTTTGCTGTCCTGTTTACAGTTTTTCATTTTCACTTCCGTTGCCACGGGGACATTAAGCAGAGGTGAAACGTAGTTCATCTGTTTTAATTTCATCTAAAGACTCCTAGGTCTTTGCATAACCTGTCATTTATGAGTTCTGGAAGTCTCTACTCAAGAAATTTCAGTTTCTATGAAAAAATATTTTTCACGTGCATGAGAGCCTCAGGACAGGCCTAGAGCTGTATCTCCGTTCTTCTGGCTTCTCAAGCCCCCTCCTGAGTGAGCGTCTCTGTTCTGTGCATTTGCCTCAGCACATGAAGTCTGTCCTTCAGACGCTAATGTGGTGGCATGTGTTTTAGAAACCAGCCCTTACTTTAAGGCAATGCAGAAGTTTGTCACTTAGCGGGAAACACAAATTCCTTCGTGAACTAACATCGTTTGAGATTAACTATCACACTTTAATATGTCTGGTAGGTCTTGTGTTTTACTTTTTAAATATAATTTTACAGATCAGGCTGTCCTGAAGAGAGGCTGTGCCAGCCTGCTGTTCCTCTGGCTGAAAAAAACTGAGAGCTGTGTGACAAATACTTGGGTGAGTGTCATCTGTCCCTAAAGAGTCCCTACTTTAAGTCTCTAATTCTACTTTTTTTTTCTTTTTGGTTTTTAGGATAATAAAGAAAAGGGTACAGGGCACAGTCACTTCTGCACACAATGACAAGAGCTGTGTCAAAGGGGATGCGTGTCACAATTGGCTAATTGCTACCATAGACCCCAAATATAGACTGGCTCTAACACAACAGAGTTTACTCCTTGATCACGTGACAGTGAAGGTTAGCTGGGGTAGCTCTCTTTCATGCACGCCTTCGGATGCAAGGCTGGGGATGCAGTTCAGTGGGGATGTACTCCTTGCCCAAAGTGCCCAAGTCCCTTGGTTTGATGATCAACAAACACTAACAAAAGCAAAAAAATTCAAAGTTTGAAGGAGGCTCAGGTATCTGCAGTATGTGGTTTTCAAAGTCACCAGGGCGCATCCTTGTGGGCAGTAGAAAAAGCAAAGAACTGGAAGAGTGTACGTCATGGGAGGTTCTTATGGGTGGAAGTGGTACACGTCACCTTTCTTCACATGCCATTGGCTAAAACCCAGGCACATGACTATAGCTAACTAACTACAGAGCAGCCACTTCTCAGAGACAACTGTGGAAAGGTTCTGGAGAAAGGTAATTCTCTTCGGCATTGAAAGTAAAAACCTGGAAATGCTCAAATATAAGGCTTGTAGAGTAGAACAGTGTTTGTGGCGGGGGTTGGTGGTGGTGGATTAGATGATGGGCTGGAGAGGAAGCTCACTTATTGCCCTTGCAGAGGTCAGGTTCAGTTCCCAGTAAACTTGGGCTCGGGAACTGGATCTATCTGGAATTATCCAGTTCCCGAGGATCCAATGCCTTCTTCTGGGCTCCTTGGGCACCAGGCATATACATGGTTCACAAACATACGTAAAATAAGTAGCAGGTATATACACATAAAATAAAAATTAATCTTAGAAAAGCAGATTAGAATGCCAAGCATATAGGGTGCACATCTGTAAGCCCAGGCAGGAGATAGAGGCAAGAGGGTTGCTCATGAGTTCCAGGCCAACCAGGGCTACATAGCAAGACCCTACCTCAAAACAACAGCAAAAATCAGGAGACATGTAGAATTCCCTACTGGATACCTGCGGGTTTTATCTGGCCATGAGGGAAACAACAGTGAAAGAAATTTCCCAAGATGCCTCTGTCCATTCTAATCCTAAGATTTGAGGTAGACGAATCCCTGTTGCCAGTGGCCAAGAAGGGCACCTCCCCCTTGTTTTTCCTCCCTCTATTCTCTCGTTCTAGGTCTTTTCTGGCTTTGTTCCTTTCACGTTCTTGAGTCAAGCAAACTAGCTGGAATTTCTCAGTGGGACCCTGCTCCCATGACTATGAGCTGCAGTAAGCTAGAGGAATGTTCCTGGAGTCCCGAGCTCACGGTTCTGCTCGGTCCTGGAGACTTTGGGAGACTGTTTTACCCCATCTGTACCAGGCCCTGCAATGAGAGGGGTCCTCTGAGAAGAGACCTTCAAATAAAACTATTTGGAAAATATTTTAATATAGACTATGAAAGACTTGGGCAGGAACATTAATACATTAACCCACAAAATATAAAAAAATTATACCTGATGTATAATTCTGGGTGTTTCTTTTCAGGAAGTCTCATTTACTGAAACAAGAGGGGTAAAGGTATGGGCCCTGTTTGGAGAGCCTTGTCTCACTTTATCATTTATGTAGATTTTTAGCCATTGTTGGTCTTTGTAAAATTCTCTTCTCACTGGTAAATGTTAGGAAAGGGTTCCAGTATCACGCCCAGGCTGCATGGTACATCGTTCTCTAGTTTCGTGGTCAATATCTATTTAAGGAGATTAAATGTTGCCACTGGACTTGCTATTCCTGGCTCCCACATCCCCACCCTGAAGAGTGAGCATTGTCCATTGTGTGGGAAGATCTGGCTGATCTGATTGACAGCTTCTTAGAGTGTTGTTAGTCCCTTCAGATCGGGAGTGGGCTGAATAAATAACAAGTTGATGGTTTCTTGTTTTTCAAAAATACTTCCACCTCTGAAAGTCCACTTTCTGGGGTTGTTGAGGATGTGGAGTGTCTGCTGAGCAGTCTGGGATGACGAGGGAGTGAAGAGTAAAGCATACTGAGTGTGGGAATGCACTGCCCGCTGGAAGCAGACATCTGAAGGAGTAAGTTGAGGATGAGCACAAGGTCTCCAAAGTCCCAGCTTACCAGTTTTTCAGGAAACACGGATGCCTGGAAGAGTGGCTGGAGGAGGAGACATTTATTTAGGCTCATGGTTCCAGAGAGTTCACTCCGTGGTTGTCGAGGTTTGTGCTCCTGAGCAGAATGTTGTGGCAGCGGCAATGTGTGGCAGTGGAGCTTCTCACTGTAGCTGGGAAGCAGAAAGAGATCTATGGAGAGACCAGGGTAGAGTCCAGCTGTGACGACATGCCCTCACTCACCTGCTTCTCCCAGGTTCCATCTGCCAAAGCTTCCAGAACCTCCCAGTATTATGACCAGCTGAGGTCCCTGTGTGCAACCCATGAGCCCATGAGGGAGCATTTCAAATTCAAACCTTCACACTGACTAATCATGGCTTGTTAATTTCAGCTACCATCTGATAGGATCCCCTCAATACATATTGCATACCAAATTGATACAGAAGGGATTTCTAACATTTCTAGCTACACTGTATGACAAGGAGAGGTGTGGGACCACCAAATCGAGAAACCAGAATTTCACTACTGTAAACATGTAATGTCTGAAAGAAAGCCACAGAGCCTCATGACCCTTGACAGTGTTGGGAGAGCAGGTGGGGTGACCTCAGAGACATCAGCAACAAGGCAGGATTGCGTACAAGGACACAATTCATATTTTAATATTTGACATTTTTTAAATGGCATCAAAATAGATTTCACAGGAAAAAAGACTTTCATAAGTCTGTTTCACTTTAATCTCGTATTTTATTATTTTTCCACTTTAATTCCACGAGTTGTGTAATTCACATTGGAGACACCACGGTCTTTGCAGAGTTAGGTCACCTGAAGATATTTGCCTGACCTTGTTTATCCACGATGCACACTGACAAGTTGAACACAGCAGCCTCACATGGGCAACATCTGGGCCGCCTGGTGATTTGACCTCAGGGGTTTTATCGTTCTCAAAGCACAGACGTGCTAACTCCCTTCTTCCTGGAGAATTCAGCGTTATGAATGCCCTGTTACCCCTTTTAGAGAATTTTGCAATGAGCTCACGTCATATTTACGAAAGCTAAGAATTCATAGTAATTGAGCTTTGTCATTTCTCACACTGAAATCCCCTAGTTCTCATCAAGAACCAATTTGGAAAACACCACACAAAAGACTTTGGGGTTTTATTGTTAACTCAAGAAGCCTCTGGTTTTTACCAGAACTTTAAAGCTCCTTCTCACCTCCAAAGCAGTGTTTTGTTCTGTTTAAACTACAGTGTTGAGACCCTTAGAGTGAGTGAGGCTTCATGTGCAGAATGGTTTGGACAATGTAGGAACGTGCTTGTCAGAACCATTGCCACCGCACAGTCAGTGTTGGTGTCTTTGATCTGTAGATTGCTATGAAGTACAGCTGTTTTGAAAAATGAAAAATTCTCTCTGACTCGCCTCAAATCTGTGACCCTTAGCTACATGCCTAACCAAAACACATGGTACGACTACTTCAAAGCCCCTTGATAAGGCCTGACTGTGGGCCAGCGGCTCAAAAGGCCGCCAGCTTCACTAAAGTCTGTGAGAGAAACTGGTTGAGTCCTCTCTGTGCCAAGAGATGGTTCCTGGAATTCTACTGAGGGTCCAGCACACTGGAACAAGGTGGCTTGATGTCCACTTCATGGAAGCAATCTTAGTTTCTTTTCTGTGGCCGTGATAAAAGGCCCTGACAAAAGCCAGTTAGGGCAGCAGGGATTTATTTTGCCTCACAGTCTGGGGTAGTCCGTGGTGGTAGGAAAGTCAAGGCCGCGAGAGCTTGGAGCAGCCGGACACAGCACATCCATAAGCAGGGAGCAGAGAAAAATGAACGGCCCTACTCAGTCTGCCTTCTCCATTTCATGAAGTACAGGATTCCCACTCAGGGAATGGTCCTGCCCATAATTAAGAGGGGTCTTCCCACAAGAGTGAACCTAATCAAGATAAATTCCATCACAGACATTCTCAGAGGCTAACTTGTAAATAATCACGGGTATACCCGGAGGCCTGAGTCCTAAGCGATTCTAGAACCTGTCAAGTTGACAGGTGACACTAACCCTCCTGGATGCACTGATCTTGGGTTGCGCTTCTTAAGCTACAGGCAAGAGTTCAGTCAGTCTGTCTCATGTGATGGGGGTCACCCTTCTGTTCAGAATCTCATAGGCTATCATCCTGACTCACAGGAGGAAGGAAGTAGTCTGTGAAAGGCCTTTCTCGTTGACTTAAGTTCCTGACATCAACTATACCAAGGTGTCTTGTGAAAGAAGAAGCTTAAGATTTCCCCAGGGACAGGCTGCATCCTCCATCTGCAGCTGGGCCATGCTCAGCTGGACTTTCAACTTCATTTCAACACTTCTCTTCCTTCCTCCATTCCATATAAGACAAACTGCTTTTTAGTTTGTTGTTGTTTTAGTTTTGGTTTTTGTTGTTTTTTTAATGACTATTATCTTTGCATGGGCATATTTTAATTTAGCCATTTTTTAAATGGATATTTCGATTGTCTCTGGTGTACCACTGTTACAAATATGTAAACACTCTGGAAGGTAAATCCTTATGGGCAATTTCAGACAAATGCCCAGAAAGTGAAGTGTGAAGTTGAATGATCTGTTTTTGAGGTCACCGATTAGTAAATCCTGTTCCAGAAAAGCATCAGTGTCTATTTCAGAATCTGGTCCCCTTTGACCGAACGGGGATGAAAATGTATGCTCTTAGGTCCCGGTGACAACAGAAGCTCTGGTGGCAGTCCCAGACATTTTAGATGTATCCATATCACTCCACGGAGACTTTGACTAACCATGTCTGAGAATC